AAGGGATGGCAGAAGCATGGATCCATGCAGGGAGATATGTGGTAGATGTCCATCCTAAATTTAAAAAAAAAAAAAAAAAACCCAAAAAACCCCTATTTCATCATTTGCCATCTACAGAAGAAAGCTGCATGGATCTCCACTTCAATACTATTCTCTCAAAGCATCCAGGAAATCCCAAATTCCCTCTAACTCATACATGCTATTACATGACAGGAGATAAATGCCCTCAGTCAGAGGGACTGACACACCAATCCATGATTCTCCACGTCCATCTCATCTGGCTACAGAGTCACTGACTCCTCCTCACCCAAGCCTTAATCCTCACCAGCTAAGGCACCGAAGAGCATTACCCAAATCAGAAGAAACACACAGAAAAGGGGATTTCCAGAGGCTGGTTTCAGGCTCTTGTATCACCCCTGGACAAGCCTCTCCCGATCCTGAAGTTGCAGGAGGCTAAGAAGAGTACCCTTCCTAGGCCACTTAAGCCTTTTTAAATATTTGTTCCTTGCTGCCCAGCTAAACATTGCTATTATCACGCCCAGTTACATACACAATTATTCTTGCACATACTAAAATGCTCCAAATCACGCTATACAATAGGCTGATCCCTGGAACACTATAAATTTATTTAAATTCCTTTACATGTGAGGAGACAAAAAAAGTGACTGAAGACAGGAAGGAGCTTTCCTTTGATACAGTGTCAGCACCGAAGCACAGTGTCCAAAGCTGCAGTAATGTACAGGATTCTGGAAAAGTCAAACCGAATGACACTAGTCTTACAAGTGAAAACCTAGGATGGCATGCACTGATTTTGTTTTTAAAAAAAGTGTAAAGAAAGATGTAGGTCACTTAGGTGCTCACACCTACCCAAAGCATAAGGAAAAGGATAAAAGCAACTTTGGTTTGTTTTTTTTTTTTTAAACAATACACAAGGAATATGGCCAAGGTACACAACTATGAATAGAGGAAGAAAGAAGTGTGTATTTTTATGAATAAGAGAAAATCTACACTTCTGTTACCTGGGACAAGAGTCTTCACATTTCAGGATATAAACACTATGAATTTACAATATGGAATTTTTTTTTTTTTTGCAATTATATATACTGCTTTGAGGAGCAGTCTTTATTTTTAACTGGAATATTTACAGTTTTCCATTGTGTCCTAACAAAAAAGTTGCCATTTCCACCAAAAACATTTCAATGGAGAATAAAGACGTATCCCTACTACTTCTTCACAGTCTCCCTATTTATAGTTTTCAGATGTTAGCACAAATGAGCCTGATGAGAGCATCATTTCTCCATCTGAACAATCTGGTATTGGCCTCCATTGGAACAAGGTTACTAAATTAGAGGAGCAATTCCTATGTTTTCACATCTGTTCCCCTTAAAATTTATGTATAATTCAGTACAGACTATAAAATACCTTATGAAGTCTCCTTCCAATGTGTAAACATTATTTGCTGTCAACTGAAAAACGTTCTGTGATTGCCATTGGGTTTATACTGGCTCCCTCTGCTGGCTAAAATGCACAAAGTGTAATTTAGTTGAGGGTTTTTTTTCCTCTTTTCCATAAATTGTGGTAAGTAAAGAACTCCACCAAAGACCACGGCATAGCACAGAAATAATTTCTTTTATAATCCACCCAGGACAGTTTGCTAGTTCAAACCTGACTACAGCAGAATCAATACTGCCAACCAAAGGATTTAAAGAAAAGCCATACACCACAGAAGGGGGAAAAAAAAAAAATCTATACGCCCTTTAGAAGGAGAACAGGCATGCTGGAGGAAGAGAATACAAAAGAAATATCATTTGGGGGTACTATTTAACAGTTCATTTTATGTCCAGAATTTTGAAGCACATTTGGGAAGCTATTTTGGCACTAGTTTTAACTATTTCTATTAGTTAGTTTCTAACTCTTAATAGTTACCTAAAATATTTTTAAATATACTGAAAACATGTCTAAATAGATTTTCAGATGTTCTTTTATAGCAGTCCAAGGAAATTTTTAAAAAGTTTATGGGAAATTTCAGCATGAATTATTCTAACTTTTAGTAATAAGTAAGTTTGGAAGATGGGAAATTCTTTAGTACGTTAATATCTGCACTCATACAAAGCTGCAGAAAAGCATGTTACCTGCCTATCTTCGAATCATAGATTACTTTTCTCTTATAAAAATAATCAACCAACCATCATGAAAAATAGTATAGCCAAAGAAGCAAATAGCTCACAAGTACCTCAGAGTAGAACACTGTAAAATTGCCAAACTAAGACTTGTTTTTCCAGCTCTTACTTCCGAGGTATTGATTTTAACTTTGATATGAAGAAGAATTATACTAAAGCTTTCAGTCACAGGGCAGAAGGTTTAACCTAGCCTTGACAACAAAATTTGGTATTTGTAAAGGAGAGACAGTTTTCTACACATCCTATCATCTTTCTTATCCTGCCTAAAATTTCAGCTGAGGATGAACTGACCTTTTTTTCCCCCTCGCAAACTGGAGATGAGATGTCAAATTCCTCTAAATTCAAGTTCCTATGAAAATCACTCTAGGTTTTGGGTTTTGTTCTCACGCCCCCAGTTCTGTGGTCACCTTCACTGAGAGGATGACAAATGATAAATGTATAAATCAAAAGAACAAAGTAGATCAGTAAACTGACTACAGCATATAAAATTATTGTATTGGCCATAAGAGGAAATGTACGCAGGACTTGTAGCTAAGAGCTAACAGGTTTTTCCTTCCAAAAATTCTTATCCTCAGTACTGTGCAAATTTCCTCTCGCCAGACATTGCAGCCTGGTTATGAATGAAAAGTCTGAGATGAAGGTAACAGGCCCTGACATTCACACATTTCTGCTCAGTGGGTTACAACTTAAACACGGGTATAAATAAATGAATATAAAAATATAAAAATATTTCTCTCATGTAGTATTACCTCTATTTAGTCTTTGTTCCGCTCAAACAGTTCCTTCTGGAATTATTTAAATGTGGGTTATTTTGAACAGGCAACCAGAATATAAAACACAGAAACAGTCCCCAGTGAAATTTCAGAATTACACATTCAATTTTTTCCACAAGGCTCTTGCGATGATGACTGTAAGAAGTTTTACATATTGCAAGACTCTATCAGTATTTAATCTGCAACTGAAGCAAAAAAGGACACTTTAGATCATGCTCAGGTTTAGAATTTATGCATGTTGCCCAATAAACAAGACTTTACACATTGTACACCATACCACTATTCTTTTTTCATCACTATAGAAAGTCAGCTGGACTTTCATTCTTTAGAGAGACAGGCACATTTTCCAGCACATAGCTAACTTCAAATTCATCAGCTATTAACATTCTCTAGTAACATCTCAAGCATTTTCTTGGGGAAAAAGAAAGAAGAGAAAAATAAACAAGCAATCTACAATGCAATGAATCAGATTGTTACACATCGTGTATTTCTTAGATAGAAGCTGTCAATGAACATTTCTGTACCTTTCTTCCCAGCTATTAAAATCCTATTATTGCTATTATTCCTATTATTAAATTTGTAGAGAAGAAATAAATAGTTTGTCATTCGGACGAAAATTTCTTAAGGGACACATTCATTAACAGTAATTTCAATAATTAGATCAATCACACCTAAGTTTGCAGAAATTCCATCCTGCTAGAGTGTCGATGTTATAATTTTGTGGCAGATAAAATCTTTCCATCTGAATGCCTGAACTCCAGCTCAAGTAAAAAAATTTGTCATGAACATAAAACATTAAGAAATGGCATTTTATTAATGTAGTATTGTACATTTTTCTCTTCCATATACCCTGACTGTATTCATAAACACGCCTTTGGGAAAAGAACAGCAAACAAGATTAGATAAATCTGCAAGATTTCCATTTCCTGGTTACCAAAGAAGCAGTTGCAAGCTGTATTTGACACCACATAGCTCACAGGACATCTGCAGCAGCAGGTATGTTTTTGAAGTGGAAGAACTGACAGCATGGGGTGGGAAACACTAGTGCAAGCAGCATGAACTATTTCCGCCAGTGAGAAAAGCAGTGCTCTATGATTACCCTAGTTTTCCCTCAGGCATCCAAACCCATCAGGCTCCCCTGCCAAGCTCCTGTCACCCATTGGCAACCACATTAAGAATGGTCTACATCTCAGCATTATTAGAATAAGCTAGTTTTAGTTATAGAAATGTGAATTTGGCAGTACTGCTACAAGCATACACAAATTATACAAATCAATTACTATTGGGAAAACAAACTGGCTTATATTTACCACTGATCAATGATACAGCAGAATACTTAATGACACCCAGGTGTTTGCAGAACACGCAAGCTGTGCCAACAAAATATATAAACTCAAGAGTCTTGGACATCGACCTAGAGCTCTTTAGCTGATGCCTCTGGACCCTGATGAGTTTACTGTGTATGTATCACACACCCATAACTATCAGCTGCAACACATGAATCCTTCAATGCAGCTTTAGGATGAGATAAAGAATGGAACAATTCATTAAAAAAGACATTCATTTACAGAAGGTTGGAGCTATTAAAAGAAAAAAGATGACAGAATAAAAACTGCACTCTGGATGTAGCTGCAACAACTCACATCCATGAGTCCTTCAAGTATTAATATGACAAAGTTTTCAGTAAAGTGACCTCACCAGAAGAGACTTGTGATAGAACTAGAATTGAATCATGCAGCTCATTAGCTGAACAAGCTGTTTCCTTTCAGATAATGTTTTATTTTGCTAGCTTTCAAGAATAATGTCTTTCCATATTTTCCACATTTTTCTGGGAAAGTTTATAGCTGTTTTCAAATTCAACATTTTCCACCTATATTTTTCCCAAATTAAAAAAGTATTACTACATGATTAATCACTTGATCTTTATCAATGTACAGCATAACATGTGTTGCTGTAACACGTTTACATGCATGCACTTTGCTTACAGCAAACACAAGACCATGCAATCTACCCAAAATCTCTTTCACCCCAACTAGAGAATTCCTACCTCATGACTGGAGAAGAGCCGAACTCCTTCCATCTGATGGAAGACTGGGTAGTGTGTATTATCAATTGTATCACGGCGGTAGACATCTCCCACTGCCAGAAAGGCATCTAGGCCAGAGTGTATCAAGTCCCACTGATGAGCTGATGTATGTGCTCTTAGCATGTGATCACGATTCAAGTAATAGTTATCCTCTTTCCTTCTGCTGGCATGGTTTTGTGGGACAAGCAAACTATCAAAATTCTGCTGTACTGTAACCACTGGAGAAAGACCATCATAGACAGAAAAGAGTGGAGTCCCACGGCGTCCTATATATTGTTTGTAAAAGTGGTCCTTCACCTGCTCCTTGATTAGCCACAAAGGGTGATGCTTTTTGTTATGCAAGTTCTTCCCCACCTTGGAAAGAATCTTCTCTGTGACGTTGCTGTAGTCATCTTGAGGATAAGCTTTACCAACTAGTTCCACGGTATTTGAGCAGGGTGCGTTGGCAGCAAAATCTGAAGGTACAGACTTGGATGAAGAATGCCTTGAATGGGTGGGAATTCCTCTTACCTTTACTTTTGGTGATAAAGCTGTTTTAGAATACTTAGCTACTCTCATGAATTTCCAGAACATTGCCATTGCAAACTCTTTTATGATCTAGAGAAGGAAAGGGGAAAAGAAAAAAACAAAACAAACAAAGAAAAAAATTAGGAACTGCAATCTTGCTGCAGTAATTGCTAGTATCTCAGGGATAAGTGAAATCCAAATGTCTGCTTGATTAATATGACAAAGTTCCCATTATAAACCACTGTTTTGACGTCAGAGGAGGGAAAGTACCCTTGTGATCAAATTTCAGCTAGGGTATCTTATTCAGTTGTCAGTCTTCTGCATCACTGCATCAGTATTAATGACTATAGGCCTAGCCTTAACCCCATTCTAGATACTGCTACTTTTTACAGCTGAATAAACGTCAGGCCTTCTTTGAAACATTATTTTTCATCCAGTTAAAATATGAGACAATAACTGAATACTGCTTAGGAGAAAGTCAGAAATTTAACAATGCCCTCTGGCAGTCAGGGACTTGCTTATAATAAAACCTGAAGCATTAACTTATTGTTTTATCATCTCCCCCATTTAGCAGAAGCTATGGAAGGCATTCCACACCAACCAGATGTATGTGGCACACACTATGCAATCTTCGCTAATTCTTACTTGATGCCAAACAAAACCAGTTTAACCTTTCAAACTACTGAACTACTGTGAAAAAAACAGATGGCCAGACCACAAGGCATATATTTATATATAAACAGCATATTAAGTTATTAACGTATTATTATTATTAACGTATATTATTATTAACGTATGAGTATTGACAAGATTCACAACAAAGGCTCCACATAGTCAGAATCAATGTTAACATTTTGGGGTGAGCATAAACCCCCTTTTCTGTATGTTCCCAGAATGGCCATTTTCACAGCTTACACTGCTGCACTGGGCAGGGAGGCTTGCCAAATACCAGGAAGGTGAATGAAGTGATGGGATTCTGCAAGATGCCTCAACTGAACAACTCGTGTCCTGTCAAAGGGCCATCTTTACACATCTGCCCTGTTTACAAATAGGCTTTGTGCTTCATGTGTACACAGCTGCATTACTCTGTAGTGTTCAAAGAGATAATTCCAAAACCAAAGAGTTTTGAGGATCAAAGCCCTTCAGTCACTCCAAATGCATAAGCCCATTCTGAGATGCAAAAGGACTTGACAGTCTATAGTTGGGCTTCACAAATATTACTGTAGGTTCCAGTAAAATAATTAAGCATTACAATTTGCTTATTACAGAATGGGAAAACAGAGGCATTAGATGTTAAGTGACTGGGGAAAGGCATCTGCTCCAAACAACAAACTGGTTTGTATTTCCTATGAACCAAGAAATCCAGGGCCACAGGTTCCCTGGGTGAAAGAATTTCCTGTGAAAGTCGTCTTAAAGAAATGGGGGAAGAAGGGACATAAGCAATGAATAGATCACAGTCTTCAAAGGATAGCTTTCCACCTTTACGCTAGGATTACAGTATCTGGCTAGCTTTCCACAGGAACATAAGAGAAACAAGCATAAAAAAAAGAATAAATAAGCTAAGATTATATTACATACTCTTAAGCTCTAAAAATATGTATGCAAATAGAATAGACACATTCTAGAATACAGAGTCCCCAAAAACAGATCTGTAAAAGATAACGGGTATGTTCATATTTGGCTGCTTTTCTCCTGGCTTACACCTCTATAGGTCTATTTCCTGAAGTAACTGTATCTCAATAAATCAAAATAAAGGCAAGTTGGGTAGTCAGAAATTAGATTTGACAGGGCAGCGTAAGATTACTAAATATTTCGTTTAATCATTTTTCTCGTTGAATATCTTAAGAAAAAAGAGCAGCTAAATTTTTATCTAGTTTTGAAACGTTTGAGGACTACTTTTTTTTTTTTTTAAAAAAAAAAGAGTTTGCAAAACCATTTCACCAAATTAGTTCTTGGCCATTACTGGTAAGTTTCTTCCATAAATGAATTCACACACACACTAGAAACCCCTCTGACATAGACTAAATGAGGGATAGCCTTACGTTTTGAAAAGAGGCTCCATTTTCCCCAAACATACGTTCTCCTTCATGGCAAGTGAGTTCTCGTTTCCAAACAGCTGCTTGAAATACCCAGTTCCAGTCAGATAATGAATTCAGCTTCCCTTAAGTAAATATCACCATCTGTCCATACATTTATTTTTCCAAAAAATTCGATTCAAATCTTATACATAACTGTAATGTATGAAAAACTCTCGTGACTTTATCGTGAGTCTCGTGATGTTTGCTGCTTTCCTAAATACCATTCCTCTGAGAATCAGACAACCATATGAGAAGCTTAACTTTCACATAAACAGTTCTTCTCATGATTATAACTTTATGGAAAAAGAAATTAGAACATGAACCATAAGTGTTGGGGGGGGGGGGGAAAGAGGAACATTTGTTTGTTTGTTTATTTTAAGACTCGTGTTTTTTAAGGGAGACTCTAACCCATATATCTCTAAGGGCTTACCTGATGATTTTTTAATATTTGTAATGAGCAACATTGCTATCAGTTTCTAATAGTTCAGAAATGCTAATTTTTCTGAGTGATATATACTCTTCACAAACTTGTATAGGAGAAAAACCTACAGATGAATTTGTATCAGAGTTTTCATCCTAACATTATGCTTGTGCCTTAAAGAGTTAAATTGCATTACTATCTGCACTATTATTCTAATTTAAAGCAAAATCTACTGTGAGCAGTAAGGGAAAAAAGTTACAGTTATCTAATGTTATCCGACGAGTTATCCAATGTCCAAGTACTGCAAACGACAGCAAACAAGCAGTAAAAGAGTCACCGACACGGTATCACACAAGATCACCAGTCCTTCACCAACGCTCTTCTGCTCCCCTCTCCCACCACAGACTCACGTATGCTACTTCCAGGTTCATTACAGAAAAAGGGTATCGGACTTAGTTCAACTCAACCGGTGATAAATTACATTTGGGGAAGAGAAGCCATAAAGAAGGAAGGAAAAGGCCATGTTTACACTCTTTGCACTGTACATCAAAGAAATGTTTACCAGGTCGGAGAGCAACGCTGGCAAATAAAGAAAACTCTTTACCTTTCTGCTAGCAATAACTAACTGATGTTAAGGATACACTAATTACTTACGTTCACTTGTAATAAATGGACAGTTATTTCTAGTAGACATCTAGGTCTGAAAAAGCACAGTTTAAATTTATCATTTTCTTCCTTCATTTCCACCATGCTTATTATTTGGCAGTAAACCGAAACTGGTTCCTGCGCACACTGACAAAACCTGAATCCCACAGCAAAGACTGCCAGCCAGCTAACAACCACAGCAAGCCAAACAGCAGCTGTAGGTCCTGTAGCTGAAAACAAATACATAAATGGGAAATAAACATTGAACAACCACCACTGGCATCTACAATCCAAAGATGGCAAAGCACTCCACCAGCATTACCAGCGGGTCCACGCGCTCTGGGCTTGACAGTGGTTCTGACTCACAGCTGGGAGCCGATGCAGGGTTTTGGAAGCAGACTGCCCCACCAGCAGCTCCCAGTGGGGCTTCTCAAAAGCACTGCAGATGGACGTGCAAGCACCAGGCCCACTATCTCCTACTACACAGGTCCTTACCTTGATGCTGCCACATTCCCACGTACCTCAGCAGCTCCTCTGAAGCTCCATGAGCCTGTCCCTGTACCTCAATCTCCACATTGACATGTCTAATACAATTGGAACTCGGATCTTTGATAGGGATGATATCATACATTGTGTTTTGGTAATACATTTGGAACCATGCCTGCGCGTGGGTATGAGCTTTTGAGCAGCTTCAAGGTAGACCAGAGGGCAGGAGGTGGCACCTGTGCCACCCAGGGATGAAGGCATCAGAACAGCCCTGTCCATGCTGCAGATAGACCAGGCACAGATGTGACTGCACTTGCCAATGTCAGCCCTCTACCACAGACCCCGTGCCATTTCTATAGCAGTTTCAGTTGATGGGCAAGGCTCCTTCATCCCCCACAGAAAACCAACCATCCCCCATGCAGCAGCACAGCAGACATTATACATGCAGAAGTACACCACAGTCAGGAGCTTAACAACAGCAGACAGAATACCAAAAAAGTATCGTGTTTTTGGAGCACATGCAAAAAGGCAGTTTGATGTGATAAGGGATCATATTGCTGTACTGTTAATGCATGTCCTTTCATGTCTAAATCCAGGTTTCCATGTCACAGTGCAGCAAGGATTTAAGGCAGCGTTATCACAGCTGCAGTGGTATTTGTCGCAAGTCCCCTCTACTCCACTGAGGTTTAGGAAAGAATCATAGACCCAGTGAAATTCCTCCTTACACCTGCCTTGAAAAAGGAGGAGAAAAGAGGGGTAGTTTAGCAGCTCACAATTAAAAGAAAAAGGCCTGTGCACCAGCATTGTTTTATTCACCCACCTCTCCTAGAAAAGTAAAAGAGAAAGAACGCTCTTGTTCGAGCAAACTAGAGCCCACCGGTGAACCAAACAGGCCTGCTTTTAGGGCCATTTGCTAGGTATTTATCTCTGTGAAGCAAGGGCACCCTCGCTCTCGCTGACCACTTTTCTGTATGCCCTGTGCTTTTGACTGTTTATGGCTGCAGAAACACAGATGGGCTACTGCATACATAAACCGAAGTACATGACGGGTTTGAAACCAAAATTCTACAAAGATGAGAGTCTGTCTCCTATCCAAGAATAGCTAATTAATGCAAGACTCTGAAGTGCCATGGAAAATGTTAGAAAAGTTGGGCTGCCACCATTTTGTGATGTGACAGCTTTTATCTACCGTATGTGTGGGGAGGGGAGTTCAACCAACATAGCATATGTTAAAACAAAAGTTATAAACATATGCTAGGCTGCTAAAATTGGACATTTACCAGTCTGCTTAGCAATTTAGCTAAGCATTGAATTTTAGTTTTGAAAACTATGTAGGCATACAGCAGCAAATATCATTGTATTGCCATGACCATATCTACATTGCATAGCCTATAACAGAAATTATTTTGCATGCAATACTAATAATGATCTCAGATTCTTTT